TGGAAATCTGAACATGTCGGCCAAGTGATAGGTATTCAGTTTTCTGTGTTGGTTAAGAACTTTTTGAACGATCTCTGGTGAATGTTTTACGTATTGTTAAGATGTTAGTGAAAAAAAAAGGGCAGAACTTGTGCTTTAAAGTAGAAGGTGTGTTTCTAAAGACTTTAAAAAGTAGTTTAATAGAGTCTTTCAGTCTCCGAGTGTATTAACTTAGGATTTTTAGGGAGATTTTTAACAAGCGCTACGTGTCTAGAATAGTTGACGTTCGATAACGGTTACTCTGTTCTTCCAAATTATCGGCAAACCGAAAAGAACTAATCCCTCGAGTAAACCGAACCCTCGAACTAAACTCGTGCCCGAAACGCCAGACCGGTAGACCGCAATCAAGCCATTGATTTTCCGGGGAAACGGATGACACACGCGTTCCAGCCTTGAAGCAAAACAGCCTGTAATATAAGTATTTCAATATACCGCATAAATAATTCGTTTCTTATGCATATTTGCTCTGCAGTGCTAAGCCGGGTGAACATCGTTTCCACTCGTGTAAGAGTTCTTGCGGGTTACAATCGAACCGGAAGTCACGCGAGACCATTTATTTTATCACGTGCATAATATATGGGGGCCATTTACCATTATCGATTCGTTTCTTACTACGTGCATCACACAGTAGTGTTCCTTGAACAGCGTATTTGATTGGCGTAATTTTATTTTTTTCAAACGAACGCTCCCAAGAGACTTGTTACGTTATTTATTTTCCGTGGTACTGCGGAAATACAACGTATATATATCAACTGATAACTTTGCTAAAACAATAGTTTATGTAAAACTTTCATTCCTTTAATAGGAAGTTCGTATGATTTTTTTTATTGTTTACGAAAGTATCGTGCAAATTAAATGTCTTTTATTTAGCACTCTGTTTATTTCTTTTTTTTTTCGCAAATATCGTTGCCGAGCGATCACTGGAACTTTTCATCGGGTTGTTTGAAAATATCGTAGGACCGCGTTGCAAATTTTTTCTTATTTTCGTACTCACGCTCGCGGGCCGTAATTGTTTTCATCTTGACATTTGATTTTTCGCGCAATTCAAATGCAGTGTTATTCACCCTTCTGACGTTTTTCCTATCGTGGTCTTCATGCTCAATTCAAATAAAGGATTACTCGAGAGAGTATGAGACGCGACCGTGTCTCATCGTGTAATTAAAATATAATATCGTTGCGCGGTTACTGCAAATTCTTATCGTGCCTGCAAGGCTCTGCGCAATCCCGCGGGATATCACTGCATATTTTTCGTCGTATTAATTAATCAAAGCCCCCCCCCCCCCACCACGCCGCGATTTAATAACGTGTTATTATTTCAGTCCTTCCCGCTCCTCAGATTATTTAATATTTCACGATATCATAATGCGAGTACAACGTAATCCGACAGTTATTACGAATTTTTACTTTGTCGATCTGCGAAACGTGCAGGTTCCACGTGAATTAAATGGCCGTGAAAATTGTTCGAAATTTATTTCTTTCACACGGTGATATTTCGTATCTCGCGCGAGACACGAAACAAGTACACGTTTCCGCGTTATCTCGCAGGCTATTGCAACGCGTCGCTTTAAGTTCAAAATTTCATAAATCTGAAATCCAGCGTTATCGCCGGGAAACTTCTCGCAACGTTGCTTAATACGCGCGAATTGAAACTATTCAACGCGTTTGCGATCCGCGATCACGATTTCTCCCGTTAACGAATTTTCTGCGACAAATTTTTCCACTAGAATAACGTCTGAAGTTTTAACGAAAATTTCAATATTCAATGCTTTCGATGATATTTTCAGCATGAAATTTTCCACCTTCAAATGCTCTTTCATCAAAATTTCAACTTCTGTCGAGGAATGTTCCAAAATTTATTTAACTCGATGAGCGAACGTGTAATAGAATCTAAGAGAGTTTCGAGAATTCTTTTGAAAATACCTGGAGTATGTAAAAACTATATGACATATTTAAAGTGTGGTACCTGCTCTAAGATTTTCCCTAGTCTATAAAAATACGAATGAATATCTATAGTGGTGATTTTGAAATCACTTCGTGTATTAAATAATTTTCTGAATTATTATAATTGTTTTTCTTTTTTTTTT